TCTTGACAACTTGAGGGAAGCCACAAAGAGAAATCTTCGGCCGCCGACCTGTCCGCTGGCGTTGCTTCACTACCCAGGGAAACAGCGTCTCCGAACGAGATCGACAACCCAGGGAGCCAATCACAGGCGCCAAACGCTTTTCAACAGCAAGAGGCGATTGGTGAGGTGGGGTAGGGGGCGGGGCTCGCAGGCAAACATCCCACATGATTGGTTCTCGTCTAATAGTCTCTGATGCACTTTCGAATGATGACCACTAGAGCGCAGCACTGCAGAACACACTCGGGCAATAACAAAGCGAGTGACTTTTCACAAGTTCAAGCGTCTAGCAGAGTGGCGCAGCGGAAGCGTGCTGGGCCCATAACCCAGAGGTCGATGGATCGAAACCATCCTCTGCTAACCATTTTCATTTTTCAGATGAGCCACGTATTAATCTCATTTTACAGCATAGAAACAACACGTAATATAAAAAGCAGTCATGCACACACCTGAAATACTTTTCACACAGGTAAAAGTGTTCCTCTGTATGTTAATGTTGTGTGAAACCTGTCATAGAAACATCTGGATTAGGCTGAGGTACATCCCTGGTCAAATTTCCCATTGGCCCTTACCAATCATGGCCTCCTAATAATCCCCCTCTATGAACTGGCTCCATCGCTCTGCTCTCCTCCCCACTGAGAGCTGCTGTGTGGGGAGTGTTCTGGCGCGCTATGGCTGCCATCACATCATCCAGGTGGGGCTGCACACTGGTGGGGGTGGAGGGGATCCCCATTACCTGTAAAGTGCTTTGAGTGGAGTGTCCAGGAAAGCGCTATATAAGTGTAAGCAATATAAGTGTAAGCAATTAGTATTATTATTATTATTATTATCCCGGTGGGGCTACTAACTGGTGCTGGTGGAGGGGAGTCCCCATGACCTGTGAAGCACTTTGAGCGGACTGAGAAAGGCGCCATATACGTGTAAGGATTTATTATTATTGTTGTTGTTGTCGTGTGTAAGTTCAAGTAGGGAGCTGTGTCATCAATCGTAGGCTTCTAAGGAACCAGCAAAGGTTTATTCCATGCTGAAAAGAGAAGAAAAGGAAACGTTTCGGCTGTGGAGCCTTATTATCTTCTTCTTAACATTATTATTATGTGGTATTATACGGTACGGCACCAGAGGAATCACGATGGCGAGACTCGGTAAATAAGTGCAATAAAGGAATGCACATAATAACAATAATAATAATTGCTTACACTTATATAGCGCTTTTCTGGACACCTACCTCTCTTTTATTTTTCTTTGTTATTTTTCCTTGTGATTTTACTGCTGTTCTGAACGTCTTATCAGCGCTCTTGTTCCCCTCGTTGATGTAATTTTAATGAACAATCACGATTAGAATTAATGGTTAGCTACAAAACGCGCTTCACGGCGAATAGAGACATTCGCCCTGCTGGCCACACGGGGGCGCTGTGGGGGAGCCCTTCCGGGTCACTCGCTCAGACTCTCGGCGAGGGAGGCGTTTGTGTTTTTATTATTTTTAGTTGTGGAAGATTTTAAACGACTTTATTTTAGTTTTTTTTCCTCCGGGGAGCAGTCTCGTTTCCCGCTCGCTGTAGAGGGGGAAATGAGCGAGTCCAGTCTGCGCTGGGACACGGGGTGGGTGAAGACTGGCTGTTTCAGGACTGATCTCTTCCCACCTGCTTGTCTTTCTCCTGCTGTGATCCTCACTATAGCAGCATCCTTCTCTGTGTCTCTGTCGGTCCACTCCTGTCTCTCTCCCTGTCCACTCCTCTCTCTCTTTCTCCCTGTGTCTCTGTCTGTCCACTCCTCTCTCTCCCTGTGTCTCTGTCCACTCCTCTCTCTCCCTGTGTCTCTGTCGGTCCACTCCTGTCTCCCTGTGTCTCTGTCTGTCCACTCCTCT